AATCTAATTATCCGCCAAAATGTCTGTAGTGGTTAATCTCTTGTATAGCTGACACTGGCTAACTTAGTCAGCAATTTGGATAAAATATAAGGAAACAGTATTATACGGCTTCTTTAACATTTTATATTGTCACTAACATTTACAGTTGATAACAAAAGACTAAAACATAATTTTTCTTGGAGTGGGAGATGTCAGAGTAATGTATCACTAATGAATTAACAATCGGCAACGTCATTGAAATATCAACAAGTCTCAGCAAATACAGCTAACTTTCTTAATGACCACCTTAAATCTGTGGAACTATTGAAAACAGGGATCGGATGTTTAAAGGAACTAATGTATAAAGTTCAGTGCGGTATAAGTAGTATAAAACGGATCGTATGGGGTCTTAGCGAATTCCTGCAAAAGGTTATTTCCTGAAGCTCTCATATCAATCAATCAAACAACCACTTTTTAGTTAGTATTTGACTGAAAAAAAAACCCTTAATCTCATTGTTGCCATTTGTTAACCTTTTAAAAGTAATTTTTAACAAAAAAAAAAACTGTCTCTATTGTGGCATTCATGTGATTCCCCCCAAAATACACATTTTGATACGTTAAGTCTCTGACCAGAAACTGTAGAAGACCTATACTCCTTCCTTCGTATCAAATTGAGTATATTGAGTATATAAGCAATGACTTAGCAAATGGTATGAAATACGAGGGTTCTCCGAAAAAGTCGTAGACAATGTTTATTACTTTGTAAACATTCAACCAGTACTAACCAATCATAATATACCTATCATAATCAATTGTTTATTACAAAAGTGAATCTTAAAATGAAAATCTTTCATTGTTCATTTTGACGGTTTATAAGAAGGTCAATATGGTCTTCACTCGCACAAAATACGGGGTAATTTATGTATGCTACTTTTACAATTGCATTTGTTTTTTCTGATTATGTGAAAAACATGAAATTCAAATTTATATCAATTAAATCAGAAAAAAATATTAATGCTGCATAGTATATAAAGGTTTCTTGTTGAGATTGAGGAGTGGTGAAGCAATTTTCAAAGCGTACTCTGAATCGAGTTTCCTGCTGGGCTATAAAATATTGGTTTGATTGGGGTGTTTACTCCTCAGAGACGAAAAAAAAGATACAGAAGTGATATAACAAACTACATTGTTAGTAAAGAAGTTGTTTATAAATGGTTCAAGAGATTTATGACAGGTTTTCTCTCAGCACCGGAGATAGGAGCCTACAAAGTTGAGAAATGATTAAATTCAGAATTAGAGGAACGTTATGGATCACGGTCGTGTTAAACTCCAGACTGTATATTCCAACTCTGTTATGGAGACCTTACGAGGACTTAAATTTGAATCTGATCAAGAAATTAGGAAATATTGGTAAATTTTATTGCGTCCCCCAGTCAAGAGTGGTTGGGCATTATAATGTATTTGAAATATCAATGATGCATTTTGCGTGAAATATATGGAGATAACGAACAGTATTCAACCTAAAAAGTCCATTTAAACAATACAGATAAGGAGCAGAGCAAACACGGACGTCCAAACCATCAGAGGTGGGATCAGATGCCATGGAGGAGTGAGCATCCCCTGCCGACTGGTCACACCCGCTGTGTGCTCCTTGTTATGATTGGGAAATCCGTTAATCCGTCGGCAATTCAGTGTGTAAAGAATGGCCTTACAATTAGTATGAAAAACGGTCGACATGGGATGCTTACTTCTCCATGCAGCTTATCCCAACTCTGATGTTTTGGGGGGCCTTGTCTTCTCTGCTCCTGAATTGTATTGTTTAAATGTATTATGAGCTTGAATACTGTTCGTTATCTTTATATTGCATGCATATACAAGGGAAGTTGACGATAGAAAAGTTGACGTCATCACGTTTATCATAAGATTTCTTGTTAGGTTGCCATTAATGTCTTTTTCCAATAAAATATCCAAATATGAAACAGATGTGTCGGTGAGTTGATAAAATAAATACATGTTAATTTGAATCTACCAATTTTGTTAAAATCTTTCTTTCATTGCATTTCTAAAAGAACTTGGTTTACTGTATGCAAAAAAAAAAAAAAAAAAAAAAAAAAAAAAAAAAAAGATAAACCAATAAATGAATTTTCATGAAATGTATAATTTCAAATATTGATATATTTATATTTTTATGCCCCCGGATCGAAAGATCCCGGGGGTATATTGTTTTTGTCCTGTTTGTCTGCTTGTCTGTTTGTCCGTTTGTCTGTTTGTCCGTTTGTCTGTTTGTCTGTCTGTCTGTTGTCAACTTTAACCCTGCCCATAACTTTTGATTGGTTGGAGCTATGACTTTCATATTTCATATGTCTATTCCTTGTGACAAGACCTTTCTTTGGGTACCATCATATTTGACCTTTTGACCTTGACCTTAGAGTTTGACCCACTTTTGCAAAATTTTATGAGACTTTAACCTTGGCCATAACTTCTGAACAGTTGGTGCTTAGGGTTTCAAACTTCACATGTGTATTTCTTGCGACAAGACCTTCCTTTGGATACCAATAACTTTGACCTTTTGACCTTGACCTAGGAGTTTGACCTACTTTTGAAAAACTTTAACCTTGGCCATAACTTTTGAACAGTTGGTGCTTAGGGTTTCAAACTTCACATGTGTATTTCTTGCGACAAGACCTTCCTTTGGATACCAACCACCACTTTGAACTTTTGACCTTGACCTAGGAGTTTGACCTACTTTTGAAAAACTTTAACCTTGGCTATAACTTTTAAATGGTTGATGCTAGGGCTTTCATACTTCACATATGTAATCCTTGTGACAAGACCTTCCTTTGGATACCAACCACTTTGACCCCTTGACCTTGACCGAGGAGTTTGACCTACTTTTGAAAAACTTTAACCTTGGCCATAACTTTTGAATGGTTGGTGCTAGGGCTTTCATACTTCACATATGTAATCCTTGTGACAAGATCTTCCTTTGGGTACCAACCACTTTGACCTTGACCTTGACGTTTGACTTTTATTTAAAAAACTTTAACCTTCGCCATAACTTTTGAACAATTGTATCTAGGACTTTCAAATTTCACAGGTGTATTCCTCAAGACAAGACCTTTCTTTGGGTATCAACATTTTTTATCTTTTGGCCTGGATTTTGACTTGCATTTGAAGAAACTTTATAACCTTCGCCATAAGCTGCCATACGGGGGCATCAGTGTTTCACAAACACATCTTGTTTATTACGTAGAAAGATGTGTTTTTTTTCTGATACTGCATGTATTGTTTAATATGAATTTGTTAACAGACTTTGCGAAATTGCAAGTTCTTGAATTTTAACAGACTTTGTGAAATTGCAAGTTCTTGAATTTTACAGAAAATTGTTCTCCATTTTGTTTACTGTATGTATAAAGGGAGAGACGGATAAATGAATTGTCACAACATGTCAAATTCAAACATTTATATATATATATATAAAAATAGAAACGCCAGTTCATTTCTTCCTTCAGTTCGACATTTCGATAAATCGACGAAGTTTCTTCAATAGCAATACTAGTATTTATTTTCAATCATAAATCGACTCGATTTTTCCATGTGAACTCGGAATAAGACTATAGAATCTGCCATAACTGTTTCATATCTGGGAGCATGTTCTGATTACGAACAATTTTATAAAATATATAGGTTACAGACAAACAAGATGATATTACAGGGCTTTCAAAAATTGTTTACAATTTATTTTTGTAAATTCTATAGTCTGTATAATGACTTTATTTACTGGTACAACCTACGCAGCACAGTTAAGGCTACAAAAAGGAGGCGGGGCCTAATTTATACAGGAAATGCTTATTGTGATATCACACAATAATGTCAGTTCTTCAAATTACCACGGCATAAAATGATTTGCTATTTTAAACTACAGTATAGCTTTAAATTACATTAATACTTACTATTGCATGCATTTTTGTTGTTTGATAAATCCCAAACAGCAAAACAATTCACTGATCGCAATGCACTTGTCAATGTGACGTCATATCGCAATATCGCAGTCTTTATGCAGTGAGAGACGGATCAAGATATATTTTATACAATGAAAAAATTAATCAAATAAATTGTGATTTGTAGATATATAAGAGGCCATTGACTTGAATTTGATGTCTGTTTTATGATTTTATTCATATACTTTCCGTACATTCTGTAGACTACTGATGCTGCCGTATATTTGTATGCAGATTCATTAAAGAGTAATAGAAGGGTCTTAATAAATCGATATATTGCAAGGGCATTCCCTCAATGGATCATGACAAGCTCAAGAAGTATGAAGATATTTGAAAAGTGCTGCGAACTTCCTGAAATCTTGCAAATGAATTAATGATATCTATATTTAATATAGTTGACCAGCAAAATGTTCAACATGCGGTCTAACAAATGTAAATTTAGCAATTACGTATTAAAATCTATATAGGTTTGCAGCACTTTTAAAATACAAAGAGTGTTGAAAACAATTCGATACATGTAATAGTAAAGTCTTAAAAAGAATCAGCAATCCTTGTAAAGAATGTAATTTCTATCTAAAAAAAATTCGCCGATATTTCCATTTAGCACCTTAACTGTACTGCGTATGTTTGGGTCGTATATTTACTGACATTTTAGCCTTTTGGTTTTACACTATTTTTTGACTACAGATTGCTTTGTTTATTTGATAAAAACTGAGGCTCAGAGTTGATGTTACCGGTCAACTTACTCCTCCAAGGCAACAACATCACATCTGCTTCTCAATAGGCTCGTGTTTTTGTCTTGTATTATGATTCGTATCGTCTAGAGAATTTATGAGATCGATCACTTTTATCTTCATCTTTTTTCAATCTAATATTTAGTAGTATTTTTCAGAGAGAGAGAGAGAGAGAGAGACTTTGGTTATAACTGTGTGTTTGGTTTTCTTGGTTAATTAATTTGGATTCTACAGTCCAGATAATGAAGTGTGGACTGTGAATCCAAATTAAACTGAGATGACGAGACAGTTCTCTTGAAGATATTTTATTAGAATACTCGTAATTACAAAACAAAATAAAAACAACATTCAACACAAAGTACAACACACATTAATTGTTGCTGTTTGTTCTAATTAAATGGGACAATTGCTTGTTTATTATAAGAATTAATTAAGATTTATAACTAATTCTCACCTCACCCAACCCCGAATAAAGGAATTTCTGTCAAAGGGCAGACAACTTCTAAATCACAACAAATACTGACAACTTAGTCAAATAAAATTAATAACACGATATATCAGATGAAAATATTCAAAAACTTAATGATGATTGAAAGTGAAACTTGCAGATTCGATACAATAAACATGAGATGTACACATACGAATCTTCAACAGGTTGTTATCAATATCACCATCCTTACATTTGTCTTCTTAAAAATATGACAAAATACTTAAGTAATCAATTATTAATACATCTTCTAAGGTAATCAGTAAACAATAACGAGACAAAATGGCTGTATTGGATTAATAATTAAATACACAAAATTCATTAATCCGATTAATAATCAACTACATTTTTAAGTAACCGTGCCCATGTCTATTAGTAATCATAATATATCACTAATATATTTATAACTTTATACAATATAGCTCAGTATGATATTAGACAATGTTATTTATGATTTATTTGATTAAGAGAAGTATAAAAATTCTTACACATACATATTCATCGAAGATTTTAGTAATAATCCTGAAAAATAAAAAAAGATAAAATATTGCATTAAGATAACTTCAAATAAGTAAGATTCTGGAAAAGAGAACAAGAAAAGTCAATGTAAATGTGCTACCATATGGACTATCAATATATTCCTAAACACCATAATCACCCGCGTGGCGCAGTGGTTAGAGCGTTCCCTCTAGAGTCGCGGAGTAAGGAGTTGATCTTTACGTCGCGGGTCCGAATCCCACTATGGGACGTGGAAACCGGTCCTTCGGATGAGACCGTATAAACCGAGGTCCCGTGTCGCAGTAGGTGCTGGGACGAAAAAGATCCCTCACTGCCCAATGGCCCTAAGTGCTGACTATAGGTCAAAATTTGCTCTCCACTGGCAAATGGTGTAGTCTCCATATGAGTGAAAAATTCTATAGAGGGACGTTAAACAATAAACAAACAAACCAAACGCCACAGATAATTACCTTGTATCCTACTCCTCCATATCCTTTGCCACCTATATAGCCTCCTCCAAACCCTGTTCCACCAAAGTAACCTCCAAATCCTCTGCCACCAAAATAACCTCCGCCATAGAAATTTCTTCCAAATCCTAGGCCTCCATAGTAACTTCCTATGAATCTTGGGCCTTCATAGTAACTTCCTATGAATCTTGGACCTCCATTGTAAGATCCTAAATATCCTCCACGGAAGAAGGGACCATAGCCATAGCCTTTGCCGTAGTAGGAACCATAGTAGTCATCACTCACGGCTAAAGAGATCAGAGCTAGGCAACACAGCACCTTGAACATCCTTTAAAAATCGCAAGATCGGTTAATAGAATGCAAACAATGCACATATTTTTAAAATTGAATAAGGACAATTATTTTTGTTTGTCTTGGGATGCCTCCTTCATACATGTTAAGAATTCATTTTTCGAATTTTAGTTTAGGGATTGATGTAACATGTTCAACATTTTTCTCCTGGAACGTTTAATATTTCTATGACAATAATGAAAGAATATTTTGTTAGTTAGCCGCCATAGTAACCTCCTCTTAAACCTCCATATCCCCAGCCGCCATAGTAACCTCCTCTAAATCCTCTGCCACCAAATCCTTTACCTCCATAGTAACTTCCTATGAATCCTGGACCTCCATTATAAGATCCTAAATATCCTCCACGGAAGAAGGGACCATAGCCATAGCCTTTACCGTAGTAGGAACCATAGTAGCCATCACTCACGACTAAAGAGATCAGAGCTAGGCAACACAGCAGCTTGAACATCCTTTGACGAAAAGACACAAGTCATACAAAATAAATTAAGTTTGCAATGAAATATGGTATATAGGAAAACTTTGACAAGAACTCTTGAATATTTCTTCAAAAGCCTGAATTAGGACCAAAAGAAAGCTTGCTATTTTTTTTCTTTTTTTACAGAAAGCAATAAGTCACTTTTCTTGAAAGTTTAGTTGAAAAGGTCATTTTCTTGAGGTATACAATCTGTTTTCTTGAGGAAAATTGAAGGGGTATCAAGTTTCTATTCCTTTTAAATGAAATATATGATTTCGGAATAGACTAGATGACATAAACACATATATTTTCGCACAATAAGTATCTGCATCTCAGGAAAACATTAATTCAATTCTTAATAGATTTTCTTGAACTATATTTCATTGTAAAACAAGCTTTTTGTATTTTCAAATACTGGAAAGTTACTTATATTGGCGGGAATGGTGTAATTTCTCCGAAAGATAGAAAATATGAAATGCTCTAGATTATGACTTCCCGAGAGACCAAGTTGAAGTTGAATAGAAAATTACAGAAGCTTTACCAGTAAAATTGATAAAGTTTGCGGTGAAATTGGTATACTGGACCACCACAAGTATTCAGCAAAATATTTCTTTTAAGGCCTGAATTAGTACCAAAAGAAGATTATTTTCATTTTTGTAATTTTTTGAAAATTCATATCTAGTAATATCCGTTCTGATCTATAAATAATGATTTTATTCTTATCGTGTAAATAATAGATTCCTTATATAGTTAAAACTATTCATCGGATTTTCCTTAACTCGAGTTGTTTTTAGCATTTAAATTGCCGAAATGCTGGAGACATGTCAGAGAAATAAAAACTGGCGGTTTTTTAAAACCATTTCTTCGTTCATTCAAAGCTATATTTCTTCAAGCTGTATTATTGACATTTTAGTGTGCAGCATAATGCAGATAAAGAGCAATATGTATCAACTGTTCCTTACCTTGGTTGATGTGGAGGATCTTATAGAAAGGTTCTGAGGAAAGACGAACAAAACTCTTCTATTTATACCGCTCTTCCAAATAATTTAAAGGTTATTATTTTATTTTTAATACCAATATGTTTAAGTGATTAATTAAGAAATTTATTAGTATTTAGTGAGAACTTTTCCTGACATTTCAACGGTACTTTCAAGTTTAAAAGTTATAAATGATAAAGTCAAATAATCTTCTAATTATAGCATGTTATGTCATTCTGTTGACTCTGTAAAATATTAATGAACAATTTACAAAATTAAAGAGGTCATAAACATACTTATTTTCGTAGTATAGGTCTGAAACTCATGTCCTCTTGCTTCGTGCTTGTGCATTTAACAAAGGAATTGTGAGTTGTAGATTCCTTTCAAATACAAATTAATCCAGTTAATTATGATAATAACTATTGTATGTATTCAGTAGAAAATTAAAAATCAGCGTTTCTTCTGTACAATATAATATTATTTTACATTTCTATCTTTCTCTTCGCCGCAAGTCTGCCACACATAAACAATTCCATTGATCCTAATGCAAAAAGCTATAAAGAGGGTTACAATAGAAGCCAATATATTCAATATTTGCGCCACACCTTTCATAAGATAATTTCTAAAAGAGATCTTTGCCACTATAGAAACATTCCATGTAGAACTCTTTCCTGGACCTCAATACCTATATTTATTATCTGGTCAGTAGTGGTCATTCTCATACGAGAACAAGGCGGCTCAAAATCGTATATAAATTGTATATATCGTATATATATTGGAATTCCCATGGGTACCGATTGCGCCCCGTTATTAGCAGACCTATTTTTGTATTCATATGAAGCTGAATTTGTTCAAAATCTTTTACGTGAAAAGAAGAAAACACTTGCTGTGGCCTTCAACTCGACATTTAGATATATCAACGACGTATTGTCAATTAACAATGGTTATTTCCATTCTTATGTCGACACTATATATCCCGGTGAGCTTGAGATAAAAGATACCACAGAGTCTGACACATCTGTTTCATATTTGGATATTTTGTTAGAAAAAGACGTTAATGGTAATCTAACAACAAAGCTTTATGATAAATTTGATGACTTAAACTTTTCAATCGTCAACTTCCCTTACTTATGCAACAATATACTCTTATCATCTGCATACGGGGTTTATATCTCTCACTTGATTCGATACGCCAGAGCATGCTCTACGTATGAACAATTTCTAAAACGAGGTAAGTTATTGACAGACAAGTTGATGAAACAAGAATATCAGCAGTCTCGTTTAAAGTCATCATTTCGAAAGTTCTATGGTCGATACAATGATTTTGTCAGCTAATGCAATCTATCATTAAATCAAATGCTGACTGATTTTTTCATACTATTTGTTAGGCCATTATTTACACACTGAATTGTCGACGGATTTTCCCGTTATTTCCCGATCATGACAAGGAGCACACGGCGGGTGTGACCGGTCGGAAGGGGATGCTCACTCCTCCATGGCACCTGATCCCACCTCTAAACTTTGAGGTCCGTGTTTGCTCTGCTCCAAATCTGTATCGTTTCATTGGACTTTCGAGATTGAATACTGTTCGTTATCTTCATATTTCAATGCTTTAAAATTTGTATTCAAAATTTTGATCCAATCAATAAATTAATTCCCAAAACCAAAATACTAGTAATTCAGTACTTTGTAAATAAAAGACCATGATATTGATTCAAAAGCTTTCTCAAAAAACAATAAGAACTAAAAGACCTGGTATATTTTTTGACTCTGTATATGACATAATATCATAAATAAATCTTGTGTTTTCACCTATATATATCTACCTTTGATAAATCCAGATTGTGTATCTGAAATAAGGGTGTCTAAGGTAGTCTTTATTCTATAACTTAGACACCCAGATATAAGTTTTTATAACACATGAAATAAAGTTATTGGTCGCCAATTCTTTAAATATTGTCTTGGAATGTCACCCTTTGGTATACAAGAAATAAATCTTTGAAATTGGCAATTCTATCTTACAGAAAATACAATTCATTGCTTTTAGAATGTAACATTTTAAATCTTTCCAAATTTTTTTAAAAAATTCAGAAGTGAAACCATCACTTCCAGGTGATTTATTATTTTTCATATTTTTCAGAACATTTAAAACTTCACTTTTCAACAATTCCGTTTTTTAAGTAGCTAGATGTTTCTTCATCAAGTTTTTTTTTATTTTCAGAATGATCAATAATATCATTGTGATTCAATTCAATAAGTTCTGAGTCTCTATTTGCATATAAATTTTTATAAAAGGTTTAAAGTTTCAAACTGATCATAAATAGTTTTATTTTTATCGATATCAACCCCTTTTATTACTTTATTTATGTACTTACGAGATTCTAAGTTGCAAAAATATTTCGTAGGCTTTTCACCTTCTTCAACTCATCTAGCTCGGGATCTTATGAAATGACCTTGCATTTTTTCTTTTCTTAAATTTTCAAGAAATAATTGGGTTTTTTTTTTCAAGAATAAATACATTGCTTTTATTTTGTGATTCAATAATTTCTATTTCTTCTATAAGGGATTTTTCAAGTCCTTCTCTCTTCTTTTTCATATATGAGGAATATGAAATGGTCATTCCCCGTATTTCCATTAGAAAAACTTCTAGAAATAAATTGTCATCAATACAATAAATACAGTTATAGTCATCATCAGTAGATGTAATGTTTTGTAGAATTTCTTGTTTAACTTTTTCAACATATGTCATGTAATAAACTATTATTAAATTTCCACAGGCCACAACCTCTCTCAAAAGAATTGAACTTTAGTTCTTGAACTACAATAGAATGATCTGACCTATTGCCAGGTTTTATTGTGAAATTTTTCAACTAAGTTGGATAAGCCTTCAAATATAAGTATATAATCAAGCCGACCTTGCTTACATGGGTTTTTTCTTCTCCATGTGTACACTTTTTTGTCTGGGTTCAAGATCTTGTAGTAATCAACAATATGTAAATCCTCCATAACTTCTTTCAGTTTGTCACTAGCCTTTGGGTTATTAACATGAGTATAATAGTATGTATCGATAGCAGGGTTTAAAGCAATATTTAGATCACCACATAATATGAAATACTCATTATCAAATTCCAAAAAGGTTTCACGAACTTTTTCATAAAGGTCTGGACAATCAACATTTGAACCACAAACATTAATAAAAGTTAATTGGTTATCCTCTACTGTAATATCTAGAGCTACTAGATTTCCCTCACAATCTTTTTTTTCTTTGTGAATTTTAAATTCAAAGTTATTATTAAAAAGGACACTAACACCACGTGAACTGGATTTGAAAGAACTAAAAATACATTTATATCCCCACTGAGCTTCTACATATGGTTCCAAATCACCAGTAAAATGTGTGTCCTTCAAACACAGGATAGAAAGACCCTTTTTCGTATAGTAATTAAGGACATCACGTCGCTTCTGAGGTGTTGCTTGACCTTGAGAGTTGACCGTAGCATTCTTTACAGAGTCATTCATTTGTAAACAGTTTGAAAATATTAAGCAACCTCCAAGCAAAGGATCTGATATAATCAGCACTTTTATACTCAATCATACTTTCGCACACACATGTAAATACTAACGAAAGAGGCAAATGGTTTTGCATCAAAACTAGCAAAGAAGTGTGTACAAAGATAAAAGAGGACATAGATAGATATTTAAATTTCTTATGGTTGCTCCATTCTGAATTCCTGACTTTAAATAGTTACTTATCTGCTTCAAATTGTTTGAAAAAATATCATGAATCACTTAAAAGGCTTAAAATTAGGCTTATTGATTTTAAATTACCTGTAATTGTAATTTGATTCATTACATCTCGGCATGAGCATCACTGAAAATGTCGAAATGCGCATCTGGTGCATCAAAATTGGTACCGTATGTGATTTACATTCAAAAATACCATGTAATTTCAATAACGAAATTGCATTTCAATAATATTTCAATAACTTAATCATTAGAAACACGTATTCCTTCTGTTCTTCAAAATCTTAAATTATGCTTACATGCTTATATTGTCTCGTTAATAATAATATTAGGTTGTTTTATGATCTTGGCTAATTAAAAATAAATATTTTGTTCTTTTTTTTTTAATTTTATCATACCCTACTATATAGTCATAAAATTATTTCAGAGTTTTGTTGCCTGATAATCAATATAATTATAGAAAAGGAAATAGACTGTGTCATTAAGACCTCCTTTGTGGCAGTTGCCCTTCAAATAACGCTGTAAATAGCTATCTAAAAAGATTTTAAAAAACCTTCGATGTTTATATATATATCATGCTTTGTTAAACTTCAAAGATTTGACCATCAGAAGTGATTGATACTATTAAAAATCCTCCACTGACTCCAGTAGAAAAAAATTGAAATCGTTATATTTAACATTTAATCAGATTTTTATAAATTCCTCTAGTATCTTAAATAGTTATACAAGCATAATCTATTGTGTTAATGTCAAAATTTGCATTTCAAGCTAATGAGCTTACATAAAAATTATTTGAAATCTTCTACATTTGATTTATCTACTCCCGAAAACCCACTTTTAATCAAATTTTATAGGGCAGGCAATTGACATACTGATATATACATGTACCTGTAGGTCTTATTTTGAGTAAACAACCTAACATTCAAAGCTGTCAAAATGATCCTAGATAATACCCAAATGTTTTAAGGGAAAAAAATACATAATTTCCAAATTGTGTTCTACATTCATTCAAAAGTATTGTGAAAAAAAATAGAAATATAGTTTGTAATTTAATTCAATGCGTTTGCAAATTTAATTTATTACATGTTTTCAAATCCCTATAGTTTAATTGTAGTTTAATTAAAGAAAAAGAGTAATTTATTTAATTTTATTTACGAAATTTCAGGAAGACTTTATTTTTTCAGAGAGTGAAAAGAAGATTATAAAGTAAAAATATTCAATTTTGATTTAATGGAATTATTATCAATATCAAATCGAAAGTACGTTTATTTCATGTCCTCGACTATTCGCAACGGCATGTTTACTATATCTGTCGACTATAAGATCGCGTTCTATCATCAAAATGCACGTATGACAAATATTATCATATATTTAATTTCATTCATAGGAACAAATAGATAGAAAAAAGCACTCCACCTTTGTTGAATTGAGCTAGCAAAAAATTATAAAATGAAAAAAATACAATATAAATGATAAAACAAATAACAAATTTCCAAATCAAGTAACTGCTCTGTCCGGTTGAATCTCTCTTCAAAGCTTGTTACATTAGTCAGTAAACCACAAGAAAATTTACTACCGCATATTTATCTTACTGGTTCATTAGTGTGACAGTAGTATGATTTAAAAGATGATTATATAAACGACAAGATAAAAGAGACCTTGAAGTTTACATTAACAGATTAAGAACCGGAACCCAAATTGAAATAGCAAAGCAAAAAAAAGGTAAATACAATGAATTTTCTCGATAAATCATTTTTAAGAACCATTGAACATTAAATTTTAACATTTAAAGTTCTTTGCAAAAGTAGTATAAATAGGAAGTGCATCAGGTCTTTTTCACTTCTTCTCTGGAACCCTAGGCCTTTGCATCAACCAAGGTAAGAACCATATTCGAGTCTTTTGACATATTTAAAAATTAAGTTTCTCGAAATGGAGAAAATAACTTGCTTTTATAGCTTTTGTTACCAAAACTAAAAACAATAAATAAACAGCTACTTGCTATTTCATGAACAGAAAGAAGATTAAGATTGGCAAACAAGTCTCCATTATTAAGCTACTTTTTATATTATTTCACAAAAGTTCAGAAATGCTGATAAGACTTTACAATGTCATTCTTTGTCAAAGTACATTAAAAATACAGTATTCTTATCAGGAAATTAGAATTACTCTCCGTATCCAATTAGATTTCATTGCACCTTTTAAGATAATAATTCAGGTAATAATATATCGAACATTCGGAATCTCTTTATCTTCATGTAGATCATGACAAGTTTCTAATTTGATTTAATATGAGTAAAAGATGTAAAGTATGAGAATATAGCTAGTGTTAAAGTGGGATTAAATGATATTAAAGCAGAGGTAAGTGATATTCCAGTATTTTTTTTATTATCTGCATCTTATTGTTTCCTCAACGACGCATCTTAAGTGTGAATTTTTTTCAGATTTGTCTAAAATGCAGTGAAACTAACAAAATATTCTCTTGTTATTGTCGTAAAAATATCAAACGTTCCAGAAGAAAAAAAATGTTGAACATGTTACATCAATCCCTAAACTAACGAAAAATGTATGAAGGAGGCATCCCCAGACAAACAAAAATAATTCTCCTAATTCAATTTTACAAATATGTGCATTGTTTGCATTCTATTAACCGATCTTGTGATTTAAAGGATGTTTAAGCTGCTGTGTTGCCTAGCTCTGATCTCTTTAGCCGTGAGTGATGACTACTATGGCTCCTACTACGGCAAAGGCAAAGGCTATGGCTATAGTCCGTTCTTCCGTGGAGGATATTTAGGATCTTACTATGGAGGTCCAGGATTCATAGGAAATTACTATGGAGGTAAAGGATTTGGTGGCAGAGGATTTAGAGGAGGTTACTATGGCGGCTGGGGATATGGAGGATTAAGAGGAGGTTACTATGGTGGCTGGGGATATGGAGGATTAAGAGGAGGTTACTATGGCGGCAAGGGATATGGATATGGTGGCAAAAAATACGGGGTAAGTTTTTATTCTGGAAAGGAATATGAAAAAGATTTATTTTGTTTTATCTTAATTTTTTCTTTGAATGTAACTCATGTTTTATCTTCTTTTTTCAGGGCTATTATTAAAGCTTGAGAAAATGTATTTATAAAAAGTACTGTTATACCTTGATGATAAAATAAATGATAAATAACAACGAGACTTCATTTTATTATATCCTTCCAAAGACACATGATTTCTGGAGTCAAAAAACAATCATTTTAAGTTGGTGATCATGCAACCAAAAGACGAAAAAATAAATAACGTCTGGAGAAATTTTAATCAACCGTTGCAATGTTCATATTTGTTAAATAATTCATTTAATGTAATCATTTTCATGTCACCACGTCAAATTCAAATGATAAACCTATATTAAATTAAAATCAGTAGTTTGTTTGAATCCAATGCTGCCGAACATGAAAGCAGAAAAGACAAGCTTTTGAGGGACGCAAGGGGAATAAATCTGTATAGAATTTAAAGCAAGGCAAAAATGGTATGATACGATGTGAAGAACGTAAAAAGCCTGAAAATGTTTCGACAACTGGTCTTTAAAAGTTGTGAATGACATTTGAAAGAAATGAAAGAATCTTCTCCTCATGAAAAATCGACCTGTAAGAAAAATGTCAAGTTAACAGACGTAAAAAAGTTTAAAAATAACTATAATCGCCAATTTTTTTAATGGCGGAACGCTTTGAATGTTGCAGAGCAACTGTTCTGTTTATAACGAAGAAGACTAAGTTTATGATCAAGTTATTCAAACATAACTTTTATTTAGTGGTTCGTAAATATTTCGTTAATTGATAGGTTATTTACCGCAAACAAATCGCCATGGAATATATAATTGGAAAGTGTACAATCGTAAATATCTTGCATTCCATGTTTGATCAAAGTCCTCGTCGGGCTACTGACAAATAAGTTGATGTTAGAGGGATTTCAAGAGCCTCTTGCTCTTAGAATTTTACAAAAAATAGAAAACAACTATATAGCCAAAATCGAATTTTTATGAAGCTTTTAATAACATTATTTCTGAATAAAAAATTTTAACGTGATTAAAAAAATGAAAATACTGTCAAATAACCTAATGGTACTGAAACCATATATATCATAATGTTTTGGTGTTAAGTTACCATTAACTTCTTTCTCTAGTTAGATATTTAATTATGAAACAGATGTGTCAGACTCTGTGGAATCTTTTATTTCAAGTTCACGGGGATATATCGAGTCGACATATGAATGGAAGTATCTATTGTTAATTGATAATACATTGTACATATATCTAAATGTCGAGATGAATACCGCAGCAAGTGTTTTGTCTTCGTATGACGGGGCGCAATTGATACCCATGGGAATTCCAACAGACTGTTGGAATACTTTATCTCCAAAAATACATAGATGTTGTCAATCAGAAACTCAAGCATCTTTTCAATATCTACTTCAGAGAACTTGTGTGTCCAATCAGAATGTTTTTGAACAAAATTATTTTGCAATTGACCAATGACAAGGTAAGTAAATTTACGAGTTCCATTTCTATTGAAAAAGCAGCTGTTTATGATGTCAAAAAGCTTGGGCTTTAATTTATCGTAGGGAATGGTTTTATAAAGTGTTGAAAAGTCGAACGCTTTGATGTTACTGGGTTTTGGTAAAATTTTATGATTTAAAATTTTCTAAAAGTATCCGATTTACTTCACTTCGCGAATATATAGTCGTACAGTACTACAGAAGTCTCTTCTTCACTACTTCTAATATTTCAGCGAGGAGTAATATTTACTGGAACCCGTATCTTTGTTTCTGAGGATTTTTTATGAAGTTTAAAATTCAGTTTATAAGAGTGGTAATTCAAATTCATTTTTATTTTAAGGAATATTAAGAATATTTAAAACTGACATATGATTTTGAAGAATTCTCTCCGTAGAAAGGGAGCTATGGGTATACGTTATATTACCACTTGCAGAATGAAATCTCTGCTACTTTCAATACAATTGAAATAATGAGCCTTACAAACAGACAATGTTGTTATTTGCTTTGTCAGCTGGGACCAGTACATATTAATAGTGTTCAAATATCTCATCAACAGGTCCAATATCTTACTCAGTGGTCCAACATCGATTTTTTTCCCGCCCAGTTAAAACATTGGAAATGTCAGACTTACTTAGTATAAATTTATATTGGTAACAAATTTTAAAGGTATACCACACAAATTTGTGAACACGGTGTAAGACACGCACCCCTGGAAATTCCAGAAGTGGGATCAAGTGCCTAGGAGAAGTAAGCATCCCCTTTCGACCGGTCACACTCTCCCTGGACTCTATGTATCAATCGGGTAGACAGAATAATCCGTAGTCAGATTTAGCATGAAAACAAAGGCTTAACAATTGATATAAAACATCTCAATCAAAAAAAACAAAATAACCATTGATAGGTTGAATTTGCCAAAAAGGTCATTATAACGACCAAAGAATTTTCAAAATGATGATTTTAAACGAGGTACATAAATCTCAACTGAACGAAGCATTACGCCGACTGACCTGTATACATTTTGACTAAACGACTTGCCCCTATTATATTGATCCGTGCTATGACTGATCCTTGGATTACAAAGTCCATAACACTGTTACATGCTAAAACTTCATCAACTGCACCAATTACATCTGGAATATAAATAGTTTCAGGATGAGAGCTAGTGACTTTGAGTGACTCAAGGTGTGGATTTTCCGCGACAAGGTTCTGTGTATGACCTCCAGTCTTCTTCGATCCGCTATCACCAAAGTTTCTTCTATGTCTTTAGTCAGACGTTTTTTTTTTTTTTTAAATTGTAGTTTATTTTAGTTTTTTTTATGCCTTTTCCGTGGTATAATGTCGATGTTGACGGGGTTTTTACACCACAAATTTTGTAAATGAAATTTTGATATTGCAGCAGACAATCTGCGTCTGTGCAAGCTTGATTTAACAATGAAATCATTTTATGTATGCTAAATTTGTGGCGTTTGGAGTTGAACAAGGCTACAGGAGTTGTCGAACTACCCAATAATTAAAACCATTTATCTAAATAGTAATAAATGCCATAAATTAATGACATGTAGATTTTGAATGCATCTCGTTTTAATTTTCCTTCAATAATTTTTAAGGAGAAAAGGGGACACTCTAACCTAACAGTTGAATATCAACTTGGAAACCGTTGGGGTTCCAGTTGAATCAAGCCATTTTAGCGATGGTTTTATTGGACTATTTGCAATAAAGTACATGGCTAATTAATCAGGTAGTGCACTTGTTAGATATGACGTCACAGAATATAGCCTTATCTGCTCGCTTACATTAATATACAACACTTCAATCTTCGTTGGTTTCTTGAGCTAAATATAGAATATCTATGCGAAACCTTTTGCTATCAATTTCTATTATAAAATATTAATGCCTCAACCTTTTTATTAATAGCAGAAATCTAAAATGGAAAACAATACTCATGAAAATATTTTTGTGAACTACCTTGAAAAAAATTGTCAGGACTTCATAGCACCTTCAAAACAGAAAGAGAGAGAGAGAGGGGGGGGAGATGCATGTGGACTGTTATTAGATTTTTGGAGTATTGGATGCTCACTTTCGAATGAAATATGGAGATAACGAACAGTATTCAAGCTAAAAATCAATTTAAACAAAACAAATCAGGATCTGAGCAAACACCGACCTCCTGAACATCAGAGGTGGGAACACGTGCCATGGAGGAGTAGGCATCCCCTGCCGACCGGTCACACCCGTCGTGCGCGCCTTGTCATGATCGGAAAAAACGGAAAAATCCGTCGACAAGTCAGTGTGTAAATAATGGCCTAACAATTAGTATGAAAAACATCAGTCAACATTTGATTTAATGATAGGTTGTATTTGCTGACAAGGCCATAGTATCGACCATAAAGCTTGCAAAATGATGTCTTCGTTACAACCCCCTTAAAGAAGGATTATTGCTTTTAGTTTAATTCTTAAAAAATAGAATTTTATACAACGTATTGATATACATCTAACATTAGGAACTTTGCAAGATAAATTATCACTTCTCATTTACAGAATAATGTTATGTATAACTTGATATAATTAAGATGCCTCTGATAATACTTAAGAATGCGTAATGTTGTCCTTTCCTGACTGGCTAACATATTTTTTTTACTATTTTGCATTAAATGGTTGGAAAAAATAGCATAAATCATATCAAAAAACCCAAAAAAGCAAATTAATATAAATGAAAAAGAGTTATTCTTCTTTTGATGTTAAACCATGATTATTGAAAACCCCGTCTGATCACTAACAGATAATGCAATAAACAACACAAATACAATATAGATATATACTTCACTATGAATAGTAATATTTAGTTTCGTGATAAAAAAAATCCAAGATTCTACTTTTACCATCATTTCAATTACTGTTTGGTAACATAGATTTTTCTAAGGGCTATTTTGTATTAATTTTCATAAAAGCTTTCTCATCCTTTATTTGTTTAACAAAATGTCTAAAATTCCATGAAAACCTTTTTCAATTTATCGAATTATCATTTGACGTTAAACAGAGTTTATCCCATAAAGTAATTTCACACCTTGACCACGACAAGACATTCCGGGTGATTTTTGTTACAATGCTGTTCATCTGAGATATTGCTTTCACTGTCAATTTATAGGATGTCATCTCCTTTTGGACACTTGTTTCCTCTTTGTGTTCAATTTGTTTAAGCTTAACTTGTTATTTGTTAATCAGTTGGCGAAGAACAGTCGGAAAGAAATACATAATAAATCGAAAATATCCAAAATTGTTTTGAACATTTTTATTCCTGTCTGAGGTAAAACGGTTTCTTCTCATCAAAAGCTATTTAAGCATTAGCATAAAAGCCCTACAGGTCTAGTTGGGGGAAAACGTTACTGGTGGAGTACAATGGTCATGTTCAACTTGTGTTCAACATGGATCCCGGATCTCTCTAAATAATGCCAAGCGAGTGACTCTAATTTCCCCATTTTTTAACATGAATATTTCTGAAAATCATGTATTCTTTCAGACCACAATAGATACAGCGGAATTCAAAACCTTGTCCATATGAGCACAATCCACTTGAAACATACATACGTTGTACGTGGAAAATGTCACCCATTCCACATGTAAAATGCCATCGGAAAACAATACCAAAAGTGTGGAAATTTGGACACTTTGGAAAAGTATGCCGTTCCAAACAAACATCACTAAAAGCCAACAAATCAGGCAAAGTATAACAAAGGAATCAGACGTCTACGGGACTACCCGGACGGAAAGAACACATTCGATTTCTACCCTTTTCTTCTCTAAGTTCAGCCGGATTTCTTCAGTGTATACATGGCAACAGAAACTATTTTAAAATATCAGGAAGATGCCATTAGAACCATTGACACAATGTATCGACAATTACTTGCAACACTCCACACTCAAATCACCCAAAACGAACAAATGCAAGAGATTATTTCTAAGTACCAGAGAACCTGCACAGACTCTGAAAAGATCAGTGCCACTCTGCTGCAAGCGGGTTCGATAAACAAGATTTATAACGAATCGGAAAACAAAAAATAATAATGAATAACTGCTTTAATATACCAGTTTTATAATAAGTGTCCTTTGCATGGCATTTGATTTCCTTCGATCAATATACATGTAAAAAGTGAAGATAAGGAACTAAGATCGACCATCTCATAAATCAAGTAAACAAAAAAAAAATGGTAAACAGGGCAAAAATAAGGGTCCCTGAAAAAAACCACAGGAGGGATCAGGTGCTTTAGTGGATTAAGCATCCCCTGTCGACCGCTCTGAAAACCCGCCGTAAGACCTATGTATTGATCAGCTGGTAGATGGATGACTCCATAGTCAAATTTAGTATAAAAGCAATCACTTGACACATTGTATGAAATGTCCGACAAAATACGACCCAGTGATGGGTTGTACAGTTGTATTTACAAAGAGGATCACTATAACAACCTTAGAATTAGCGAAAAGCTTACTTTAAACGGGGTTCTTGAAAATCTTGTGATATTAACTTGTCAGTAGCTTGCCTCTGTTTAGTAATTTCAAGCTCTCGGGTATCAAATCAGTTGGGAGACATTAACACCATGTGCAGGTGACAGCGGAATATTACTACATAGATAAAGGAAGTTGACGATGGAAAAGCTGAAGTCTTCCCGTTTGTCATACTGTTATTAACTTGCTACTATCGTCTAGAGTCGGTAAGCATCCAAATATGTAACAGATGTGGGAGACTCTGTGATGTCTTTAATTTGACTTCACTGGGATATATCTAGTCGACATATTAATGGAACGTCGTCGATATATCTAAATGTCGCATTGAGGGTCACAGTAAGAGTTTTCTTCTCTTTTGTATAAGTGTTTTATTTGCAAGTTAATATTTCTATTGTATGACTAGGATTTCTATCAGTATACATAGGATCTAGATGAATCATCATTCGCAAGGGGGAAATAGTAACTGTTCCCTGATTGTGCTTCCTCGCAAGCGTATAAACATCCATACCAATGGCATGGACACAATATTTAGACTACAATATCACCTATTCTCTAAATCTGGATCCAGAGCTGAACCAAAGGTCAAAATGAAATCTTAATAATGCTGTGGACTCCTATCAAATCTAATTTGACCTTTCAATATTGTAATTTGCTACAGAGATGCTAGTTGGCAATAAGAATCTTTTTTACTTTCAAAGAAAACTAATCTTTTTGAAGAATTTTAAGAATATTAGTTTGCCTTAAAGTCTCATACTTGCCTGAAAAATATTAACATGCCAGGGATAGCTCATTTTTAGGTCAAGATTACTAGTCGTTTAATTGAATAGGATTTTCCGACTTAATTTGACATTTCAAAGCTTCAGGGATGAGAAAAGTAGACATTTTAATTCCACTTTAATTATTAGCATGTCACTACACGGTGTCACACTTGATAAAGCTGTGGTAGGAAGTTATAGTATTGATTTATGGACACCATGTAAATGAAAGTCCTTTTTGAGTTTTTGGACATTTGTTCACACAACTTAATTGCGCATTAATGTACTGACAAATGTTTTTAATTAGAGAAATGGTAATTCATAACAAAGTCTGCAAGCCGTCGGCTTTCAGTTTAGGTATTGGACATACAAATCTTCATTCGCTGTGTATTATGTGTAGTGCATGTCCTCAAACACCCAGAGAGCAGCATTTGGTTCATAGAGATACATCCTAATTTGCAATCCTCAAAAGTTTCCCGTGCTTCAGCCTGACAAAGTGTCACGGGGTCACCAATACTTATTCTGATGACAAGAAATAAAGCACACCATGTCGTCAATGATACTTGGTAAGAAACTATTCTGTAAGAGAAAAATAAGTTTTCTTAATAAATTATAGGTCGCCCGCGTAGCGCAGTGGTAAGAGCGTCTGCTCTAGAGTCACGGAGTAGGGAGTTGATCATTACGTCGCGGGTTCGAATCCCACTGTGGGATGGATGAGACCGTATAAACCTTCGGATGAGACCGTATAAACTGAGGTCCCGTCCCGCAGTAGGTGCTGGCACGAAAAAGATCCCTCACTGCTCAATGGCCCTGAGTGTCGAGCATATATGTCAAAATTTGCAGCTCTCCACCGGCAAGTGGTGGCGTCTCCATATGAGTGAAAATTCTCGAGAGGGACGTTAAACAACAAACAAACAATTAATAAAGTATGGAGAAGTCAGTTGGTTTGTTATTTAACGTCCCTTGGAGAAATTTTCACTGATATTGAAACCCCACCACTTGCTAACGGAGAGCTGCAAATTTAGACCTGTATTCAGCAATTTATGGCCTATGAGCAGTGAGGGATATTTTTTGTGCCAGCACCTACTGCAACACTGGACCTCGGTTAACTTATCCGGAGGACCGGTGTCCACGTCGCACAGTGGTTAAAATCCTTAAGCCCAACTCTAAAGCAATCGCTCTAAAAACTGTTCCACGCAGATGTATAGATATAACCTATTTTTAAAAAGCTATTTTCTTTTCTTACTATATTGAATTGGTCCGATTATCGTATAATAACTGAGATATATTATGTTTATTACAACATAGAAAGGGGCTATCTTTTTGTAAATGTATTGTTTGGCAGAACAAAAATATGGACCCCACATGGTTTTCTTTTGTTATATAATACACAACTAAAGTTACTTTATCATCTCTTGTTCAATTCACATTAAGATCACTCACATAATGTACTAGAAGTGCCTATCCATACCTTTTTTCCACAAAAGGAATGATTTTATTTTCTTCAAAAGACTGCGTGACAGTCTTAAGAAAATAATTTATGCCTGTCATAAACACAACTAACTAGGCTACTTATATAAATGAAATGACGTAATTAGTTTTTATGAAGAATAAATTCAAATTTCAAAACGAAAGTTTAAGATATTATAACTGGTAATTAGCTGTCATTTGGAAAACAATTTTTTTTCATGTGCACAGTTTTTCCTTTATGAGACAGCTCAACATTTACTCTAAAACTTGTGTAAAATAACCCATACGAACAATCTGCATAGAGATTTTTTTCTCGAAAAAGTTAGATAATAATACCGTATAAATAGAATTTTTTAGCGAGACGCAAATTTCGCTATTTGTCCTTAAAAATCAGTATTTTTAAAATGTTAGCGAGAAGTAATTTTTGCGATGTTATGGTACATAGACAGATAATGGTTACTCTAAATAAATAAATTATTAGCGATATCTAAATTTAGCGATCTCAACACCCTCGCTAAAAATGCCAGAATTGAATCCTCGCTAAAATTTCTGCTTCTAAGGTATTTTAACATGAACTTACTTCATAATTAGTTTTCCAAAATCGGCTGGTCAAATCCTACAGAATGAAATGCAACTCGTTAACTTCGTATCTCAATGATACACGATAGTTCTCCGCTATTGATATTTCTATCGGACCAGTGACATAAATTGACCAATTATTTGTACTTGATGTTTATATCGTATATTTAATATAGGGTTATTTGGAGAGGCAGCTGTGGAGCTTAACACGAAATGTCATCACTATAATGAAATTCTTGATATTGGTATTAACATTTATTTATCAAGCTAATAAAAACAAACATCTCAAGTGTAAACCAAAATAACATTGCTCCATCGTCAGGCCCGTAGCAACGGTTTCAAAAGGGGGCGCCAATCAAAAAATAAATAAATAAATAAAACTAAACTGTCCAAAAGGGGAGGGGCAATTTCCCAAATAAATTTGACAAGCAAATAATCAAAAACAAAAACAAATCCTGGAATTTTTCAGTGCTCGACCTCACAGCAACAAAAAGTGAGGGGGGGGGGGGTAACCAGTGTCCCCCCTGCCCCCCACCCCCGCAATCTCCGGGCTGATCTAAACTAACTGGAATGGGGTCATTCATCAAATACATTGTGCATTAAAATACAAATGTATATAATTTGTCATTGTTGACATTCATTGTTGAATCCCTTCACTTGAATAAATTATGAATACCAAAGACATATCTTGATCAAAATTAAACTTTTGATTTCAAAGTTTTATCTTTTTGTCCCCCGTTTTGGCGAAAGTGAGGTTGCAGTAAATCTCATTCGTCTGTCAGTCTGTCATACAATCTTTAACCTTGGTCATAACTTTTGAATGAAAAGAGATAGGGCTTTCATATTTCACAGGCACATTACCTGTTACAAGTCCTTTCCAAATATACTCAGATTTAAATCCCGTGACCCTGACCTTTAAGTTTGACCTACTTTTATCATTACTTTAAATTGGTCGTAAAATTAAAAAGAGAAAAGATAGGGCTTTCATATTACACATATACATTACCTGTGACAAGACCTTTCCAAATGCACTATGGTTTTTGATCCTTTGACCTTGAAGTTTAACTTACATTTCAAAAAATTTATCTAAGCTAATAATTTTTTATTTAAAAAGATATAGCTTTTATATTTAATATTTGCATTACTTGTGACAAGACGTTTCCGAGCATGCTATGATTTTTGACCCCATGACCTTGTCCTTCATGTTTGACCTAATTTTAAAAATTTTAACATTGGTGATTATTTTCGAATGAATATGATAGGGCGTTCATATTGGCAATTGCATTGCCTGTTGCAAAATGTTTCCGAATGTGCTATGATATTTGACCCCGTGACTTAGACCTTAAGTTTGAATTAATTTTCAAACATTTTATTAGCTTTGCTAACTTTTGAAGAAGCGAAGATAGGGCATTCATATTTGACACGTAAATTACCTGTAACAAGAATTTCCAAGTGTCCTATGATTTTTAACCCCATGACCTTGCCCTTGAAGTTTGGCATTTTAAAAACAATTAACATTGCTGATAACTTTTGATTGAGATGTAGATATGGCATTTACATTTGATATATGCGTTACCTTTTTCAAGATTTTTCTGATTGTATACTCTGGTCTTTTACCTCGTGACCCTGACCTTAAAGTTTAACTCACCGTCCTTTTTTCAAATTAATTTTACATTAAATTTTGTATTAACTTTTGAATGGGAGAAGATAAGGCTTTCATATTTCTACATGTACATTACCTATGACAACACCTATCAGAAAAGTATATCATTTTTGACATCATGACCTTGACCTAGAAGTTTGACAAACTTATAAAAATTTAACCTTTACCATAACCTTTATGCTCCATAAGAGACAGGGCTTTCATATCTTTTTCACATGTGCATTACTTATGACAAGACCTTTCGGATGGTATTATGAAATTTGACTTTATAACCTTGATCTTGACGTTAGATGTAGTTTTGAGTAGCTATAATCTTTGCCATAACTGTTATCAATTCAATAATTTAATTCTTTTCTTTATGAATACAAGACGGACAAACAAGACAGTTACAATATGCCATAAATTATGGCATCCCATCCACTAAGACACCGAAAGCGGGGGACTACAATGAAATAAGAAGATAACGAACAGTATTCAATCTCGAAAGTCCAATGAAACGATACAAATTTGGACAACTCTTTGAATTTGCTTAACATTTGGCCTAAAATTAAGGTCGAGTTTATAAAATTTTTTTGTTATTATTTTCTATTCCTTCAGACACACTGTCAATATTTGGACTATCATTAGGGCTATGTGTATTGAATTGCTTATATTCTCTTTCTTCGGACACACTATGTTGACGAGGAAATTCAAAGAATTGTTCCCCTCTCTTGCTGTCTTAAAGGTTGGATTACAATGATTTAACTGCCTTGTCTGTTCTGACTTGTCTCTCCATTAGAAAAACAGTGTCTTATATTTTGTGAGCAATATGTTCCGATGCTAAAATGTTACAGCCAAGCTGTAAGTTCTTGAAAGTCAAACTAGTCTAGGTCATTTTACATTACGAAATGATTTGTCACCCGTAATTCACATAATACTGAAAAATATGAAAGCTCCATATATTTAGATGCAAAAGCTACAGAAAAAGATAAATGTTTTTAAAAGTAGGTCAAACTTGAGGGTCAAGGTCATAAGGTCAAAATTGATAGAACTCTATTTGAGGTTAACAGTGTTTAATTTTTTTAAAAGTACGTTTGACTTCAAGGTTATGAGGTCAAAGAAACATTAAACATTCAGAAAAGTCATGTCATGGGTACTGCAAAAGAAAAAAAAATAAAGTCCTATTTTCTCTAATTCAAAAGTTATGACCAATGAAAAGATATTTAAAAAGTAAATTAATTTCAAGGCCAAGGTCACATATAATCGTTCATTTGGAAAGGTCTTCTCACAGGTAATGCACATGTGAAATATGAAAACCCTATATTTTATTAATTAAAAATATGACCAAGGTTAAAGATTTTGTGACAATGTTGGTTAGATTGATAACAATGGGAAAATGCTCAATATTCCTTTTTGTTTAAATTGGAAAATGATACTTTTTGTGATTCAACTGGCTTGTGTAAATGTAAAAACTATATTTTTCAACGTGTTAACGATTAAATAAGCAGAACTATCTTTTGTCAAGATTTGTCATTTTTTTTTTAATTATAAAATATTAAGGGCTTTTTCAAGAATAATTCAAAGCAATTAATAAAACCCCGTTAACTGAGAAGTTTCCATTTATATTTAGTTATTTAAAAATGGAATGTATGTTTTGGGGAGATTTGAGCTTCCTTAGACAATGCTTTTTCAATGCAGTCAAAAAATAGTTTTTCAATAAGTTTTTTAGAGAGCTTTTAGTAAGGGGCGTAATGAGAGGCAATGAAGAATTATTCTGATTAATGTTTTCGGCTTACTTTCACTTTTTATTTTCCTTGTACTACTCATTGGACTATCAAAAGTATAAGAAATACTCAAAAGTAATGGGTGACTGGCTAGAAAAAAACATGCTATACAAATGTTATACAAATCATTATTGAAATGCCATAAGCTATTATGACATAACAATGCTTAAATTCTCAGTCAAAGAATTGTCTTAAGATATTCATTTCCTTTGTTTAATTTTGTCTACACAAAGAAGCTTAACTAATTATCCATCTGCAGGTTAGTGTTACCCTGTTACCCAGTGATATTTAAAGAACAGGTGCTTTTTCATCATATTCCTTTCTGTTATTTATTCATTGTATATATTGCATTAATTTTATCAATTCAAACATTAGTATATGTTTTACAGTATATGAATTACCATCAAGTTCTAAAACTTGTTGCGACGCGGAAACCTAAATAGTATTCAATGAAAAGCTTTCAAATTTTATACAGAAATACTCTAAAAATATTAGACCAAGACACGCTACAAAGATTTTGAATTCATGTAACTTTGTTTATGTATGTGTCTTAGTGGGTGTCTTAATGTACGAGGATCGTTCAATAATTAATCCAAAATGCGATCTAAAAATAAGAAAAGCTCAAAAGCAGTTTCTTTATATTTTCAGTCCTTCAAGGTATTCCCTGTTAACCTTTACACGTCTAAAGTCTTTGTATCCATGATCAGTACACATCAGCATACTGTTTTAGGGGGTGCTCAAAAGATGAAATATATGGAGATAACGAACAGTATTCAAGCTCAAAAGTCCATTATACAATACAAAATAGGAGCAGAGCAAACACGGACCTCCAAACATCAGAGGTGGGATCAGGTGCCATGGAGGAGTGAGCATCCCCTGCCGACCGGTCACACCCGCCGTGTGCTCCTTGTCATGATCGGGAAATAACGGAAAAATCCGTCGACAATTCAGTTTGTAAATAATAGTCTAACAATTAGTATGAAAAACGTCAGTCAGCATTTGACTCAATGATAAATTGTATTTGCTGACAAGGTCATTGTATCGACCATAGAACTTACGAAATGATGACTTTAAACGAGACAGCTGATATTCTTGTTTCATCAACTTATTTGTCAATAATTTAACTCGTTTTAGAAATTGTACATACGTAGAGCATGCTCTTGCGTATCGAATCAACTGAGAGATATATACCCCGTATGCAGGTGATGAAGGTATATTGCTGCATAAGTAAGGGAGGTTGAAAAGTTAAAGTCATCACGTTTATCATAAAGCTTGGTTGTTAGATTACCATTAACGTCTTTTTCTGGTAAAATATCCAAATATGAAACAGATGTGTCAGACTCTGTGGTATCTTTTATCTCAAGTTCACCAGGATATATCGTATCGACATAAGAATGAAAATAGCCATTGTTGATTGACAATACGTCGTCGATATATCTAAATGTCGAGTTGAACGCCACAGCAAGTGTTTTCTTCTTTTCACGTACAAGATTTTGGACAAATTCTGCTTCATATGAATACAAAAAAAGGTCTGCTAATAACGGGGCGCAATTGGTACCCATAGAAATTCCAATAGATTGTTGGAAGACCTGGTCCCCAAAAACCACATAGATATTGTCAATATCTGATGAAAGACTGATCAAATACTGATGAATTATGCACTCTCCAAGACGTGCCTACAATTTTAAATTCTTCCTTTTATTTTTTTTTTTTTTTATTTTATTATATTTTTTTTTAGTTTTTAATATAAAAATATCTCATATAGCGAATACGATGAGTGGCTAGGTTCGGTCCTTTCTTCAAAATTCGCTTTTCATTCTATGCATATTTGCAGCAGCGTTGTCAGACACAAGAAAACTAACTCGGGGACCGTTGTTTGGACCTCCCTTACAGAAAAGCTGCTGAAGTTTTTTTCAATGCAATTTTACCATAAAAACTACCATTGATGGTCCTTTGTTTCGTGTAATATCAGCTCTATCGACTAAAGAGAATACCTGTAAAAGACATATTTGGAACTCTGGTTTCTTTTTGCAATAATAAGACGTAACTTTCTCTCTGATTCCACCTTTTATTAATGTTCTTTCTTTTATGCAATTAGAAGCGCACCATTGTTTTGTCACCCAAAATAATCATACCTTCTTTTTTGTAATAATGTTCATTTTTTAATAGTAATCTGTAAGGAAATATTACAACAATCTGATATAGAAATATTTTTAGATTCTTATTTCCATTGTCTGAACTCTAAAGACTGCGATGTTGAAATTTTTAGTATCTTGCCAACGTCTTTCAAAGTAAATCTTGCATCTACAGATACATGTGTCATGTTGTTCACAGCATCGACATTTTAAGTGTCCCAAGGATTTTGATCAACCAGTTCAACTGCAATCTTAAAACACTCCTTTTTTATTTGGGATTTCTTAATACGTCTGAAACTGTACAATGTAAAAAGCTTGTCTCTCCAGATATCAAAACCCACACCTTTTATATTAGTTTTTCATCGATTTTTGTAATGAGCGCAGTTTTTACATACACCCCATTTTCATCTTCGTAGCAGAGACCATTTTTAAACAGTTTTCAGCTCAGAGTAGTGACCAAGCTTACTTTAAAAGTGAATTTCTTTGCGAAGACTATAGGAAAAGGCATGCAGTTTAAGGAGATTATGAGTTCCTAAATGTACTTCTTAACTGTGAAAAAATAAAATTAAATGCTTCTCCATTTATTATTATTATAAACCGTAGGTTGCATTACTTTTTGAACGACCCTCGTATTAATATCTATGAGACGTTGTGTTGTAATGCGATAACTCAATAAGCTTTCAAATTTATGTAAAGAAGTACAGTACTTTACTACAAAAGCGAGGCACCTATAGATTTTGGGGTCATGTCACTTTGTCTTCGTGTAATTTCCTGAATGTATATCCATCATAACAGAATAACGGTGATGAAAAATCTTTTTAAACAATGCAAATGTGCGAATAGGAAATTTAAGAGGTGGAATCAGGTGTCTAGGACGAGTAAGCATCCCCTGTTGGTCGGACACACACGCCGCGAGCTCTTTACATTGATAAGGTGAATAATCCGTAGTCAAATTAGTGTAGAAATTAGTGTAGAATTAATGGCCTAATAATTAAAATGAAGCAGGTCGCTCAAAATATAACCCACTGATTTTTTTGTACATGTATTTGTATACAATGTCATTGTAAAGACTATAGAATTTTCGAAATGCTGACTTTAAACAAGGTTATTGAAATCCCTGTAACATCAACGTATTTCTAAAGTAAGCTTAAAACTATGTTCGCTTCCTTACATCTATGGAAAGGATTTGTACATTATAAAAGCTTACATAAAATACAAAACAATTGTTGTTTCATTTCTCATTTATTTACAAAAAAGGAGGATCTAACAGAAGTGGCACAAATTCCAACAGGAAGCTTAATAATAATTCTGGAATTTAAAAAAATCACATTTTAGACTCATTTAAAGAGAAAATTCAAAGAAGCTATAGGCTTATTATCTGTTATCTTTTCAGTTAGAATGTGCAATATTTGGAGGAAAATAATAAATTTCACTTAATTGTACTTATAGATTTAAAAAATCAAATAGAAAGGAATCTCGAACAAAAGCACAACAAAAGACTTACTTTGCTGTATCCGTAACCGCCATGTCCGTAACCGCCATGTCCGTAACCGCCATAGTGTCCACCGTATCCGTAACCACGACCAAATCCTCGGAGTCCTCCGAATCCGAATCCTCGTCTTCCACCAAAGAAGCGACGTCCACCGAAGAGACCCAGGTTACCCCCGTATCCGTAACCAGAGTAACCACTTAGTGCTCCGTATCCACCGTATCCACCGTATCCGTAGCCACCGTAGCCGTAGCCACCTCGACGGCCGTATCCACTGTAACCATAGTCAGCAAATGCTAAGGCCAAGACGGCAAATAGGCAGAGTAACTTGTACATTCTAGAAATAAAAAATGATGTTACAATCCCTTTTGATTCCCATAACTAAAACAATTCATCAACTTTTTCATCTTGAAATTGAAAATAATTACATATAAATTAATCTGTTAGTCTAAATATTTTTCGAAAATAATATGCAAGTCGCAATGGATAAGTAGAGAAATTAAAATCAAAAGAAGAAAAATATTTTGAAAATGCTAAAGTCTTAAATATTTTCTTTGTTATACAAAAAATTTTTTGAAGATTCTTAGTTTCATAAATTTCCTAAAATTTACTTTAACTTACTTTTGAGGAGGCTTAGATGTCTGGCAGGAAACCAAGTGACGAGATCTACAAGTGAACCTCTATTTATACCCAATCCCATTTTTTAAAATACTGCTCTGAATATGAATTAACACTCAATCATTAATGACATCATTGCGGAATCATGGTTCCTTTTGTTCATAAATTTATTCACAAAAAGATCAATTGGATAAATGGGAGGGAAAGGGGGCATTTATCTAAAATACCAGTTTTTTTTTTTTTTTTTGGTTTATTATTGAATGACAATTCATAACCGACTATCACCATAATTAGCATTCAGTGTATCTTTAGAATGAACTATGCATTTCTTGATTTATTTGTGGTTAACAGGCAAGGAAATCTTTATATTCATTATTTGCATTTCATAATCTGATAATGTAAAATAAGGTAACTAATCCCTCTCTCTCTCTCTCTCTCTCTCTCTCTCTCAGGAGTACACGATATAGTAGTTTACAAGGACGCTCTAGGTGTTGGCCTTGTTAAAATATTCCACTTTGTATTTTGACTGAAATTGAGAAGTCATCAAAGACTTCTCACTACTCTCGGAAATACCTCGTTCTGGTGACACGTCATCAGGAAATAATTAAAAATGAATTATATTGTTATAGAGTCGAGATTTGAATACAAATTTAAAAAATATATAAGCCATTTATCATTGATTTTTCAAACAATAAATTGCTTACAACATTTTAAGTATATAGATAAAGCCATTAAAACAGATAATGATGTTTTATTGGAAATACAAGAATCCGGCATTACACACACAAAAATCAATAGAATTAAAAATGTGTTAAAGTTGTTAGATGTACATTGTGAAAAATTTGAATTGATGGTTTGATATTGAAATGAGAACACCAGAATTGCAAAATGTAATTCTCTTTTTTGAAATTATCCCTATCAGCTTTTAAATAAGAAATATCTGAAGAAAAAAAGCTAAAAGAAATCTAGAAGAAACATCGGAGATAAAATGAGTTTTTCACTGGTAAAAATCAGTGATGTCAGAAGAATAAAAAAGTATAAAGTATTTATTTTTTCATTGATTTTTATTAATAATCAATTAATCGAAAACATTTTTTAAATAATCAATCAATCATTCGATAAATCGAGATCAATGATGATTCACTGATATAACAGTGTAGAAATTCAATATACGCACAGTGGCTGCAACGGTATTGTTGATAAGATATACGAACAATCACGTTACACGATTAACGCTCAATTAAACATGTACATGAACGATCGTTCACGCTCTTGATTCTATGAACGATCCAGATTGATAACATAAACGCACGATTCTTCTCGCAAAATGTATGAAAATATTTCAAAATATATACACTTTTAGACGCAATATGAATAATTAATTTAGAAAGCAATTATTTTTTATTTTTCTACTAATAGATAGATTATTTGTTAGCTTGAAAGAAAAAAAACAAACTTAAATATCTATAACTAAGTTCTTTTTATGATAAAATGGTGATTCTATACAATCGTCAATCCATAACAGGTTGCTGCATGATTCTGAACCTTATGATGTATCACATTATATACAAGTACAAGAGAGTTGTGAATTTAGAGTTTATTGGATCCCATGATGAAGAACTTTTACTGTGGTCAGAATTTAAATAAAGAAATAGGATGACAGGTTATTTTCACGCAATAATATTTGATGCATGCATTTCAATGTTTACATTTGTGCATCAGTTAAATAATATATCTTACCAAAATTATTTATAACCTTGAATGGAAGGAATTATAAATAAGTCTCCAGAAAAACAGTTATATGCATCTATTTATTGGTGATGAGTTGTTAGGAGACTCAAAATTTCGAATTTCCTCACTTAAGTTCAAAAAAGAAATGGCCCTTTTTTAGCTCAATTCGACGAAGTCAAGACGAGATGAGCTTATGCTGTTACTCAGGTGTTGGCGTCTCGGTTTAAGTTTAAGGACTGAGTCAATTCCCAAGTAACTATAAGCCCTACCTGGACCAAAGTTGCAGGGATGCTGTGGATGATGTGGATACTTAAAAACTCCATGGAACTTTTAGACAATTTGAAATAAATTTTTTTTACCAAACTAAATAGTATCAAAACGTACGGCTCTTCAACACTTCATACACCATTCCCCACGATCGATCAAAGTCTTTTTGACATCTTAGACGAATGCTTATTGAATAAATTCAATAAAAATAAAACGCGTAAATTTGCATACCTGTCATTGGTCATCTGAAAAATGTATCTTGTTAAAAAGCATTCTAATTCATAAACAGGTACTCCTAGGTTGATATAAAAAAAGATGCTTGAGTTTTTTTATTGACAATATCTATTAGTATGTAGTTTTTCGGAGACCAGTTCTTTCAACAATCTGTTGGAATTACGATGGGTCCTAATTGTGCTCCGCAAATGGCAGACCTGTTTTTTATTCATATGAAGCAGAATTTATTAAAAAACTTTTTGCATGCCAAGAATAAGTCTCTTGCTGTGGCCTTCAATTAGACATTTAGAAATATCGACGATGTTTTTTCAATAAACAATATTCCGTTTTCATTCTGACGTTGATTTGATATTTTCCATTGAACTCGAAATAAACGACATCTCAGATTCTGACACACCTGTTTTATATTTAGATGTTTTATATTTAGATGTTTTACTGAAGGCAAACAGACAATTGACCTTTATGATACACGTGATAGTTTTCAGCTTTTCTATGGTCAACTTTTTTTTTAATTTAGTAATATATCATTATCACCTGTATATGGAGTTTATGTTTCCCAGCTGATTCGTTATATGTTTTTTAAATAAACTTTTGAGAATGTCTACTGTTCGTTATCTTCACAGTTCATTTAGGTTTTCGAAAAACTAGACTTGTTTCAGATGCTGGATATGATCTACTTTTTCAGAATTGGTGACCAGGTTTAAGCTTTTGGACCAAGTCTATTCCAAGCAATTTTAAGCCTTACCTGGACCACACGTGCATGGCTAATGTACCTAGGAATTACTTCAGATGCTGCCTTTGACCTTTAAAAATCATATCTATATTTATTTGGATGATTTAAATCGTTTAAGTTTTAGGAGCAAGTCCATTCCCAAGTAACTATAAATCTTACCTGAACCAAACTTGCATGGATAATGCATCTAGAAATGCACACTACCTGACTTGCTTCGGATACTAGGTCTGACCTACATATTCTGAATGAGCGTCCAGATTATAGTTTTAAGATTATATCCATCCCCACCAAGAAACTATAATCCCTACCTGGATCAAATTCGAATGAATGATGTAGGGATTCACACGACAAAAATTGTTTCAGATGCTGCATCTGACCTACATTTTCTCGATGATTGAACAGGTAAAAAGATGCTGGAGAAAGTCAATTCCGCAGTAACTACAAGTCCTTCCCGAACCAAACTTGCATGTTTTTTTATACTACGTATATACACCATTAGACTTGCAGATGCTGGATCTGACCTAATTTTTAGCGCTAAGCGCATGCGCAAGCGCTTATTAGGGAGTCTTCATAAACAGGAAGTCATCCAATCAACGACCCCTATCGGTATGATGTTCTTCTAAACATAGCACCTTAAATATTCCGATAGGCGCATTTTCTAAAAATAGCATCGCTGTAGTGATCTAGCGCAGTGCTATCATATCTTAATTTTATGATGGATCTAGCGGTGAGGACCAGTAAAGTTGCTTGCACTTTTTCTTTTAACAATTTTTAACATTAAAAAATGAGTTGGTGTACATGAATACCGGTATGACAAAGCAATAGTTATAGGCCAGTATGAATGTACTATTATGTACAATAGTACATTCATACTGGCCTATAACTATTGCTTTGTTTAGAAGAACATCATGCCGATAGGAGTCGTTGATTGGATGAACTGTGACAATTGTTGAAAAAGGGCATACTTATTCACCAGAGTTCTATTAACTAACTTAGCTTAGCGCTTTTCAGTACTGTAAGTACTTTGATTTTCTGACCGAGTGACCAGATTTAAGTCTTTGGAAAAGGTACTAGGTAACTACTAGCCCTATGTTGTCCAGACTTGTACGGATGACACATTCAGTTTTGGAGAAAGTCCACTCCAAAGTGACTATAAGGCTTACCTGAATCAAACTTGCATATATGACACATAAAGGGATACACGCTTCAACATTCGTTTCAGATGTTGCATCTGACATATATTTTCTGGATGGTTGAAAAAGTTAACAATTGTTGAGCAGGCCCATTACAAAACAATTATAAGCGTATCTGGTCAAAACTAACATGAATCTACATGCATGATAGTTTTATATTTACATTTGCTGATGTCTTTCCTTATATAACAATACTAATTAAATGACTTTCAATTTTCAATGACGTGCAGTTGGTCACATGATCAGACTTTCTAGTGTATGGAAAGCAAACTGCACAAGCCATATGGAAAGTTCCGATTGTGACGTCACAAGACGTCATAGGTACGTTATGATGCATTTCCATAACAAGTCTATATGGTGCCTATTTTCCCTTGTAACACGAATAAAAGTAAAATGTAAATATAAGAAATAAAATATCATTTTTAGAGTTTCATTGGGATATGACATGAAGTCGGAACGTGATCAAATCTACTATAACGCTCTTCGGGCGCCCTTCATGTCATATCCCAATGAAACTCTAAAAATAGATATCGTATTTCTTAAATGAATGCACCCTTCCATACCTTCGGATGGTGCATCTGACTTACATTTTGAGATTGAACAGTTAAATTTCTTGGAAGAAGTCAATTTTCAAGTTATGGTTAGTCTTATCCAGACAAATTTGCATAGATTTTGCATGTGATGAAACTCATGCACCCTATAGGTATATTTATTTATCGTGAGAATTCATGCTTGAAAAAATATCACTTGCAAATATATTTTTTTATTTAAGAGATTTACAGTTGAAAATGTAAGAAATACATATTTATTTCCTAGGTGCATATTTTCATACATATACATGTTTTTTGATGTACATTGTTCAGTATTGATTTAAAAAAAACAATCTAAAAAATACATGTATGTGCGAAATAAAATTAAAAAATCTTGAAAAGCAACACAATACAGAAAATCAAGAACAAAAAAGTCCGTTTCGGGCGAAATACCTGTAATTTACACATATTTTGTGCACTGCACTGTTTGTGCTAATCAAGAGTGTACATGTCCTTGTTACTTGATGTGAACTCTTGTTAGCCGAACACTGAATAAATCATTTGTTTATACTTGCTGACCTTCCCCAACTGTCAATGAAAACACTAGAGCATTACGCATATCATTATATTAAAGAGATGACAAGTATAGACCCTTTTAATCACTTTTATATTTAGCTTATTGAATCAATCCTTTTTAAGACAATATTTGTCACATCAATCTTGATTGGAAGCACCAACCTAACGAATCTACAGTTCTTATGAAGTGGTGCAAAACTTAAAAGAAAAGATTTACATGATTTAGGCTCTTTGAGATTTCTGAAAATGATTTCAAGTATTCTTAATGCTTATTTCAATTTTTTTTTTGCAAATTCTATCATTAATGATAACGCTTTATATATGTTTGGGTTATCAAGCTTATAAAAAGATAATTAAGAAAATCAGTTGTTCTAGAATGTTCTAAATATAAATCGTTCCCCAAATAATTTGATTCGTATATTTGAACTATTGCCATAACTGTTAGTGAAAAATGTAATCATTAGGCCTTGTCTTCAGCTTGGAAGAAGATATGATAATTATATCTATGGTAAACTATGTTGACTGGGTCAAAACAGTGAGCATGTTTGTAACGCTCTACATTGGCATTGAGAAATAATCAGATGGCATCAACCAATGCTTGCTTTAAAGAAATAATTCTACACGTATAAAATCTGTTTATGCGTCAGCTATACAAGAACATAAGTTTATTACTAAAGACGCGGTTTCTGAATTCTCAGATAAATTTAAATTACATTTACCATGCTGTTTTTTTTTGTTGGTTCTTACAAAGATATCAACAACTGTAAAGGAGAAACTTCAGACGTACTGTGCTACAACATATTTTAGAAGTCAGATGTGAATACTCAAAAACTTCAAAGAATGTTTAAAAAATTTAAAACCACCAAATTTTTCTTAAGTCAAAACGTACCACTTTTCTACACTTTAATCAACTACTGTTGATTCCTTATTTTTCGCGAAAGGACCCTTAACGTAAAATCACGGGAATAATAATTCGCGTATGAACGTTTGATCAAGAGATTTTTCATGGGTTTCAGCTCCATAAAAATAAAAGCGAGTAATTTTATTTTGCGAGTGGTGCTTAATGGTATATTTAGGAATCCACAGTATTCCCCACGATAAAGTAAAAACTAGGCTTTTTGATGTTATAGACAACTGCTTCTTCAATAAAAATGGAATGCCAAAATTTTTATATCGTATGATTGCTCATCAACAAAACTACTTTGTAAAAAATCACTCTGATTTTACACAATAGTACTCTGAAGTTGATATTATAAGAATGCTGGAGTTCCTAATTGACAACATCTATGTAATCTTTGGAGACTAGTTCTTTCAACAAACTGTTGGAATTCAGTTAATCATTAATTGTGCTACTTTATTAGCCGACTTGTTTATATATATATATGACTATGAATCAGAATTTATTCAAAAACTTCTCTAAGAGAATAAGAAAATACTTCATGCTGCATTCATCTCGACATTCAGATATATCGTTTTATCAATTAACAATAGTTATTTCCATTCATATGTCGACTCGATATATCCTAGTGAATTTGGAACAAAAGACACCACAGAGTCTGCCATTTATGTTTCATTCTAGATGTTTTACTGACTATAGACGAAAAGGTCCGACTAAAAACTAAATTGTATGACAAACGAGATCACTTCAGCTTTTTCATCGTCAACTTTCCTTATTTATGTTGTAATATTCCGCTATGACCTGCGTATGGTGTTTACGTCTCCTACCTTTTTCAATACTCGAGAGCATGCTCTGAGTACGATAAATTTTTAAACCGAGACAGGATAATTGATGTTACAGAGATTTCAACCTCTTTTAAAGTCAGCATTTCCTGAATTCTATAATCTTATTATAATGACCTTGTTAACGAAAATAAACTATCAATGGGTCTTATTTTGGCTGACGTGTTTCATACCAATTGTTAGGCCTCCGTTTTTATACTACATTTGACTAGGGAATGTTCCTTCTACCAGAACAATACATGGGGCTAACGGCGAGCGTGACCTGTCAACAGGGAATCCTTACTTCTCTTTGGCACCTGATACTTGAATTTCCGGAGGTCCGTGTTTATGTCCTATTACCAGCTTTGTATTGTATGTGGACTTTTTAAGATCGATCACTGTTCGTTATCTTCACTTTTTTCATTATCAGAGAAAGGATAAATCTTGTGAAAAGAAGCATCGAAACAAAAGGCATGAATGCAGCAAAACAAATACATAAGAACTGCGAACGATAGTATTGTTCTCCAAGTCAATTTTCAAAAGTTAACATATTTTAATGTTTTTTTATATTTATATAGATATTTATATGAACTTTCATAAAACATCACTTATTTGGGAAAACAAAGAGAGATAACTCTATAATTTTGGAAAAACTTGTGTTTTTCACCATAGAAATCAACGGAAAACGGAAAATATGTTTAAAAATCCCCCCACCCGTGAAACAAAAATTCCTTTTTCCAGGTAATATGGATTGTTATTTCACAAATTCATACCAAAGCTTTTTGTGATTCACGAGTGGGGGGGGGGGGCATATGTTAACTGACAAAATACGACAAAAATGCTCATTTTTTCATCAATTTCGAAGGGGTTTACAACTAAAATGTTGTATTTTATCAATTACATGTTTTTTTATATGCGTAAAACATAAGAAAAGATTAAAGGAACATTTATCCATATCCAAGAACATTTTAAAATATGCTGATGCTTTCAAGCCCGATTTTAATTTAAAAAAATAGTCTACCCCCTTATAAAAAGAGCTGGAATTAAGAGTAATTAACTATTTAACACTGGTATTAAAATTATCAATCAATTACCATTAAACTCTTTTTGCATTCAACAAAGATTTTATGGCCAAATTGCCATTAGTATTGAATTAAATGGGTGTAAAATGTAGGCGGGAATCGAGAGTTAGCGTGCGTAGTTCTTTGATCGAACGAATAACTAAGTTGTCAAAGCAAATATCCAGTTCGTCCAAACAAATCCAAACAAATACAATTTAATCTTTTTTGTTTTTCTTTTTTTTTTAGCGTTTATTTAATTCGTCCAAAGGAAGAACTTGTTTGTCCAACTAATATCTTGTTCAGTTCGGATGTACGCAGAATAAATCTGTTCGAACAATTATCTTATTTGTCAGAACAAATATTCATGCGTCAAAACTGATATATGCACTGTACGTCTTTAGGATAAATGAAACCAAAGCCAGTTTTTTTTTTTTTCAAAAAAAATATTTATTGATGAAAAGACAAATTCTCCGACGACAACTTTAATAATAGCTCTGAAAAAAAGAAATTCATACAATTATTACATACTTGTTATCATTTTATTAATCAGAATCATCATTATAATCGGTTTTGCTCTAAATATGTTTTGTTTGAATATACAGTTTTGACTATTTTGTCTTATTATCTAATTATACACTTTTAGTCATTTGATATTTACCCTGCCATAACCATATCCTTTATTGTAGTAGTTTCCATAGAGACCTCTTCCATATAAGTTTTTTCCATAGAGACCTCTTCCATACCAGTTGTTTCCATAGAGACCGTTTCCATACAAGTTGTTTCCATAGAGACCCATTCCATACAAGCTATTTCCATAGAGACCGTTTCTATACAAGTTGTTTCCATAGAGACCGTTTCCATACAAGCTGTTTCCATAGTAATTGTTACCATAGAAAGGATTGCCTAAATAGCCACCATAACCGTATCCACCATAGTTCAAGCCTAGGGCCAGGGATAAGATGGCGAGACAGCACAGCAGTCGGAACATTCTGTGTTGAGAAAAAATAGTTAATGTACAGAAGGTGAAGTTAATGAACAGTGATCAGCATTATCAAATTTAAATCCTCATTTTTGTATATCATTGGCAAAAAATGGTTTTATTCAAAGGATGATTTCAGAACTTCTAAAGATGAAACCTATAAGACGGTATCACAGTTTTTGATATATCTTAGATCTCAAAATAAAATATTCATTTGTATTTCAAAGTTACTTATTTATAATCATAATTCAGCATATCCATTCATGACTCCTTAAGTTATCAGGAAATAAAAAAATCTGAGATATGGTTTTGTGAAAACATTTAAGAGGGAGCTGAATCCTTCGAAATAATACAACCAACTGCTTGGTCTTACTTTAAAGTAGAGAGCAAAATCCTATTACACAATGATGTTTGCCAAAGCTATAGATATATGATATCTTGAGATTCCTTCTACCCATTAGTAAACTACATCAGAAGAGAATAGGGTGTATAAATATGAACCAGAATATATATATATATATATATATATATATATATATATATATATATATATATATATATATATATATATATATATATATATATATATATATATATATATATATATAGTTTGAAGGGATACCTCTTAAACTATGAAAAATTAATCCTTAGATCAAAACCTAACAACATCCAATACTTTTATGAAGGGACAGGCCTACTCTGTTAACTTTTATTCCAAAATTAATGCAAAAATCGGTGCTAAACAGGAAAAGTCCGCCTAATGTTAATCTTAGAATTGATTTTTTTTAATTAATTTTTTTTTAATGCAGATACATGTATGAGAAATTCAGACAGTTGATTGAAAATATCTTAATAATAAGCTTTGAAATAATTTTTTTTCAGAAAATTGTTCTCTCTTTTAGGTCAATTCTTTTGCAATTCTGAAATTATCCATTTTGTTTAATTATATTTTAAGTCTTTATATGACAGTGAAAATGAAGGAATGTTATTAATGTGAAATAAGATTATCTTATATGTGTTTCATATATTTATTTTACTTCACTTCTCCACCTATTTATTACATGTAAGTAAAAATATAAAAAGAGATTAATTTTACCATTAACAAAATAAGATTATATAAAGTTTAAAAAATAATAAAAACTGCAAGAAAATTTTCTTACCTGGGTTGATTTAGTTGTCTTAGAGAGAACCGCATAGGAATGGTTTGGTACTCTTATATTTATACTGATTTTTAACATCAAATTTAAGTTTTCATCAATCAAAAAACGTCATTTCTACGTTAGAAATATTTACTAAAGATTGACCAACATCTGAATTGAATGACAAATAAAGAGCGTAAATAGGATAACTTTTATTGCATTTTGAGGTCAAGATTTGTAGAAAGTGGTACAATACTACGGCTTGGATTAATAAGACGGAGTTAGAGCTTGGTTAGGGTGATAAACGCTCTGTGGTCAGAGTTATTTGTCTTTTTTTCAAAGAGTACAAGGGTTAAGTTATATATGTGTCTTACAAAGATTAATGGGATGGTTTGTGTTAATTTCGGGAAATAAATTCTTGCTTTAATTAATGACCTTTTAATGGTTCACTTAACACATCAAAAACTAGCCACACAACAAGTACGGTTAGGCAATAATTTAATTACAAACTCATTATTTTTTTTTTTAAATTTTAACTTTAAAATCGAGATAAATTTACAACATACAAGCAATACATGTCATTCAATGCATTTTTCAAAACAGATTTTATTGTATGCATCATATTATATTCCAGTTTATTTACGTTATCGTTTCTACATATTAATGAGTTATATTAATTGCAGTTATAAGTTTAGTAAAAAATTAAGTCTATCTGATTTGTTAATGCCTCATTTTAACCTTTATGTACTATATACGTACTAAATATACGATATCTCAATAAAATGTTATCTTGTTTAAAAGGAATTTTGTCCGTTATTCTATAAAGTTGTTCCTTTATTGACCTATTGGTTCTATCAAATAATGTATGAAAACGATATTCAATAAAAATAAAATCACATTTATACTGTTTAATAAATAAGTGATGTACACATTTAAGTTTTGAAAATTCATAGCCTGGAACTTTTCATACAGGCGTCCTTCATGAATCGCGGTAGTGCAAAATATGGCTTATGTTGTCATTTCAACTACAGATTTATTTCCTTCCATGTAATATGGACATTAATTCTGAATATTTTGAGAAAAATGATATATAACTTGAAAATATATTAAAACTGTATCATTTTCTTGTATATTTGAAAATGCTCTTCTCAGGAAAATTTTCCATAATTTCGACACAATTGGTAGCAACATTCTGAAAAATAAAAATTTCAGTAATATCAATTACCGCACAATAACCGCATGTGACCTGTTATAAGGAATAAGTTAAGCTCATATACGACTACTTTTCTATGAAACTTTTGAAACTATTTTCACTAAAATGGTCAATTGATAACGTAACATTCTCAGACAGAAACATCGAGAATCGCCAAAACTGTAGGACCCGAGTCTTCAGATTTTGTAATATAAGAAAATGTAATATTATATATATATATATATATATATATATATATACGTTTGTTGTGTTTCTCTGGCAAACCATCAGTAAAATTGACTTTGAGTGCCATTTTTATCTTATTTTGACTGACACATTTCATACCGATTGTTAGGCTTCTGTTTTTATAGTAAATTTGACTACGGAATATTCCGTTCCTACCTCATCATTACATAGGGCTCACTCGGATGTGTCTTGTTCGATAGAGGATGCTTGCTCCTCCTGGGCACATGATCGTGCATCAGGAGTTGGGGGGAGGGGGATTCCGTGTTCTCAAAATTTGTATCGTTTTTTTTTTTTTTTAAAGATCGAATGGTGTTTGTTATCTTCATCTTTTTCGTTTACAAAATAAAATAATAATACCAATAGATTTCTACCGTTGAATACCAGAGACTTTTGTTTTGTTTACAGTTTGTCGCATATGATTTAGTGTCTGTGACGAAACTGAATAAAATCTGAATCGTCTTATCTCTTCTATATGTACATTATCACCTTTTCTTTCATTATTACAAGCGAAATGGAAATGACCGTTATATCCTCCGAGACGTTGAACGCAAAACGCTATTAAGGTATTTTACAGCATCACGAACTATGATGTCATTAACCACATAACTGCTTGTTTCACACTACATAAAGGATACCCTCACTTCTGTCTAATTAATATATCCTTATGGAGATCTTTTAGAGACTTGTACTTTACCTGGAAAATTTAATTGAAAAATTAAATTTCTATATAAATAAATCTCTATATCATAGCGGAAGGCAGTGGTATAAACCTCTCAAATGACAAATACATGTCAGATTCATGAAGATTTTCTAATCAAACTCTCCGCCCTTTTTAATCTCATTGATGCCAATACGATTAATCATAGCCCCTGTAAAATTTACGAGGCCCCCAGGGTTAAAAGAAAAATGAACAAATTGGGTTGCTTTCTCTAAATAAAGAATAATTGGAAATATTTTTTTGTGCGCTTCTAAATTAAAAAAGAAAATGGCACCCGTAATTATTTCAAGTGATATAGCAATGCATATACAAAAAAGGACTTGCTGCCCTATACATGTGTGTATACACTGAAAAATATGATAATAAAGTTAAATAGAATGTAAGTGATGAGCAAATGTTAAAGTTCTCTTTTAACTTGTTATTTCAAATAATTAAAAAAACTTTCATAAAACTTTCATCAAATATGAAGTAGAAAGTATCTTTGCAAGTACTTCTTTCATATTACAATTGATAAGATAAATGCAGATGAGAATATTGTATGAATAGATATATCATATTTCTATTGGAAAATGTAACAAATTTTCGAGATGAAATCTGAACACATCTTCAATGAAAATTCTTTTAATTGACAGATTATTAAATATTATGCTCACTAACGTAGTTTCGGAACATTTTATTTTGCTTGGTTTCTATTTACTATTACATGTATTTTATTCATTGATATTCCTTATTTTACAAAAATAACTTTTATTTTGGGGTCAACTCATACTTTTAAGGTCACTGTAAACTAGATATGTCGTGTAAGTAATGTAGGTACCTTTTTTATGCATGTGGATACGTGAGTCACTGTATGATGAGGTTAATGATGAGTTGATTTGACTGCAGCATTCATCGATGGTATGCTTTGAAACTAGTATTGTATTTTTCACAATGCTAATCATATTTATGTAATATACATGTACTTTTAAAACATGGATACACGTGCAAGGAAGCCTGCTGAATTTTAAATATATTTTAAAACTCAAAAGAAGTAGGTACGGTTTTGGCTATATTGTGCCCTAAAAATATGATGTTTTCAAAAGTTTTAAAATTTGCTAAATATAGTTGAAAATGAAATATGAGGGGAAAAAATTGGCATAAAGGAGGGACGTTCTGGAAATATGACGTCATTCATTCGTTAAATGTCTATGTTGTAACAAAAAAAAAAAACTCATAACGACTCAGCAGTCGCCCATTTCAATTTTCAGATATGTTAGGTAAAATTTTTGAGAAATCACATATTTTAAAATATTTGTGGGCGATGCATGTGGTCTATATTGTCTGAAGAAAAAAAACACTGAAAATTAGTATCTTCTGCAACTTGTTAAGAATAGGGTGAAAATGCACAAGTTCATGTCGTAACAATTGGCATTTAGGAGGTAAGAAAAAAAGATTTTAAAAATACAGGGTAGATTATATAAAAAATGTATGTTCTCTTTTAAAAGAAGAGTAGTATGCAAATATATATACGTGTCCTCACCATGAAGTATAAAAAATACTTGTACAAGTCATTGCTGAAATCTGAGCTTAAATAAAAATGCTGATATCTTTTTTATGTATCATCGAAATTGTTCAAAAATTCAAAATGAAGGCATATTCTGTGTCTCTGCAATATTGAATTATCCATAATGGTTATACATGTATGTAGTTTTATACATGTATGTAGTTTGGGCCTGATATAATACAGAAGACAACAAGATAGTCCTACGTAAAACAATGATATTTCCTTCTGTGGAGACATGGTTCATAAGTTAATAATGTTAGAATTTAGAGAAAATACTTGCCAGACGATTTTTTTATGCATTGCTGTGAGGATTATGTAATTACAGCATATTTCGGTAAATATTACTTTAACTGACCAGCTAATGATTTATAGATTTAAGATGGTGATGATAAAAACCCAATAACAAATTGTATTAATTTTCTATAAATAAATGCTGTTTACAGTATGTCAACAGTGCCTTCTACTTGACATTGGCACATTGAACGTTTTATGTCATCTTTGAAATACTAGTGATATTCGGCAATTCTGACAGATCCGTTTCCTGGTTGTTGACCTTGACCTTCTCATGAGTTACAGTACAACTGTTCCTTAACGGAAATCATAAAGATAATCATTTTTAAAAACTGAATCATTATTATGAAACACGGTTAATATTTGAATACAAGTTATATAAAAAAATCTTTCTACTACGACTTATTAACATTCGATGATTGGAAGACGGTTTTCGTTGGAAGTGAGTGATATTCCTAATGACTTTACTAGTGCTACCAGACAATTTATTTGTGGACATTTGACACATTTCACATGAATTTAAAAAGTGTAATTTTTCTAGGGGTTTAAAGAAGTATCGACATGCATTACTCTATATTTAAGAAAAATCTACAAAATTCATTTTAATCTGGAGAGTGTTCAAAGGCTAGGTAAAGAAGAGTCATTGATTGATAATTTATGAAGTATTATAAAGATTTGATAATTTTTTTAACTTGCAGATATTCTGTGACAGGGAAATTTGAGTCTGTATCAGCTGACAAGAAAGATGAGATGGCATTCTATCACGAATGCATAAAATGCTATACCATCATGCACGAGCTAGACTAGTTTTAGGACTAGGTCCGATAATGTCACACCTCTCTTGTCTTGTGACAGCTATAACAGGATTTTATTAAATACACCAATAAATCTGATCATGTCATATTTTCTATTAATTAAACAAGAGAAAAGGCGATGTTTTATTTCTGAATTATAGAAAGATCCCCCTTTTTACGAAGACAAAAATAATCAGTTTTCGTAAACTTGACACTTATTCAAAGAAGTTAATCATAAAAGTGCTTCTAAGACTTAAATGCCTGTTT